CCCAGTCCACTGATGATTCTATTTGGGTACAGGCAGTGTTGGCGTTGCACGTTTGGTTCAGGTTGTTGCAACAAGCTAGGTTGATTGCTTCCCTGGAAGCCCCGTGGCTGCCCTGTTTAGGCTACAGGGACCCGGACTTGGGGGTTGTTGGTCGCTTTGGCCTGGTTCAGTCCACACTCCCTCGTCCTTTTCCTGCTGTAGTCCGGTTTGGTGTCTCTCCCCCCCCCCCTTCCCTGCATCCGGCTCCGAAACGTCTGAGGGTTTTGGGTCAGGGCAGTGTTTAGATGGTCTTGAGACTCGGCAGTCTCGGGGGATGTCCCTTCCGGGGTAGCGACGGAGGCATTGGAGTTGGTTCTCCCTGCCGAAGCATTTAGGTCTGACCAGTGGGCCCCCTTCCGTCTACGGGCTTCTATTGCTGCGCCAGACTTTTCTTTTGAGGCTGGGGCTTTGCGGGATGACTTGGCCTTGGGTCCTGATGTGGTGGTTCCTGGGGCAGGGAAGTGGCAGATTTGGGGGCCTTGGGCCCCCATTGGATCCCGCCTGGGTTTTTCTACATTCTGAGCGGGGCTTACTGTTGCAAGGAGTGGGGTTTTCTTTCCTTCCCCCCCCCCCCCTCGTATGAGTTGGATTTGGTGTCTGCCCCTTCCCGGGATCAGTTCTGTGTTCCTTCAGGTGCTTTGTTCCTGTCTTTCTGGAGGTTTTCGGCTTCCCGCATCCCGCCTCATGTGCTGCGGGACACCTTTGCGGCTTACCTCCTGCGTGACCCGGATTATGCCTCTATCATGGATCCGTCTTTGTTCAGGTTTGGGTCTTCGTTTCCCTACTGGATTCGTTATGAGGTTTCGAAGTCATCCTGGCTAGCAGTCTGTCCTGTGTTTTTGTTGGAGGCTTGGCATACGTTCTGTGGTTCCTCCTTGGAATCTGCTTGGGCCCTGCTTCTTAGATTGTCTTCGCCCATTTGTTCCTTGCTGTTTGTGGATTCCACGGTTGAGCAGTATCTGCAGGCAGCTTCTAGTTGTCGTCCAATGTCGGACTTGTTGGATCTCCAGGGGTCCTGGGGTGGGGGGTGGGGGCCTTCCTGGAGGGGTCGTACCAGGGCTCAGGTTTCCACTCATCGTGGTAGGCCACTGGTGCCAGTTTCGGAGCCGGCACCTCCTTCGGACTTGTCTTCATCTGGTTGGCATGGTGTTCGCCCTGTGCTTGGGTCAGGTTCTCGTAAGGGACGTCGGCCCTTTTACGGTTCGTCCCATTGATGAGGCGATGGGGGGGGGGGATGAGGCTCGCTCTGTTTGCTCGTGCCTTGTCTCACGATTTGCGGGCTTTTTGGGTCATTTCAGCCAGCCTGCGGTGACGTTGGGTGGCCCCTCCTCCTTTGGAGAGTTTGGGGCTGGCCTCTTCTTCTGTGCTCTGTTGGGTCAACTTGGAGTGGGTGCACTTGGGCGTGGTCGAAACAACATCACTCAGATGGGTTTCCCGTCTGTTCCCAGATGGGAAGCTGCGCTCCTGCCTTCGCTTGTTTCTGGGGGCTCCCTGGTCACTCTGAGGTTGCTCGAGGGTTTGTGCAGGAGCCTGAACTTTGCCGTGATGGTCTACTCGCCGGGTCGGGTTTGACTACGTTGACTACTCTGGTTCCTTCGGGGATGTCCCTTCCGCCTCTCTCGCTTGGTTCGGCCTCCGGGGGCTTTGTGTTCGTTGCTGTGTCGCCGGCTTCCTCTTCGGGTTTTTCAGGGTTCAATGCTTTGTTTGGCACCTACCCAAGCCCTCACTCGATGTGTTCACAGACGCATCGTCTTTTGGCTGGGGCTTTGTGACCAGTGCTCACTAGGCCGGCCAGGGGCGGTGGAGTTCACCCTTCCGTGGGGCCCACAGCACATTGCGGAAGTTCACAGCGGTGTGGATGTCACTTTGGAGGGTTCAGGTCGCTCGTGGATCGACGATCAGGCTCCATTCGGAGTGCTCCCAGGCGATTCATTGCCTGAACCGAGGGGGGTTCGATGCAGTCCTTGGCTCTTTGGGGCTGGTCACTTCAGGTGACTCATCTGCTGAGTTCTCGGGGTTTGGCTCTCCTGGCCGTTCACGTTCGGGGGGTGTCCAATATCCTGGTGAACGGCCTGTCCCGATTCATTCCCTTGTCCTTGGACTGAATGGTTGACGCTGACTCGTTCAGTTGGCTCTGCTAGATGTATGGGCTCTTCGCGTCGGCGTGGTCAAAGCATCTCCCGGTATATGTGGCACCCTTCCCTGACTGTGAGGCCATCAGGGTCGATGCTTTTTGGCAGGACTGGTCGAGGTGGGGTTACCTGTACCTCTTCCCAACCCCTCAGTTCTGCTGTTATTCCAGTTCCTAGCTCGCGTGGAGACTTACCAGGGGAGAGTAGTCCTTCTGGCTTCTTGGTTTCAGGCACTACTTGCTCGGTGTCGAAACCCAGGGGTTTTCCCGCAGCTCTGCCTCTTCAGATGATCAGTCCAGTCCGTTACATGGCTGATTCGATCTTCTCCTCGAGTCTTTGTATCTGATATTTTTGACTCGGGTCTATCACCATCTGAATGGTGATCAGGTGGCTTTGTTGATGGTGCCTGCGTGCCTCGTCTCAGCGGCAGTATGAAGTTTCCTTGCGGTCTTTCCGGTTCTTTTTGTATCTTCATAGGCATACTTCACTTTCTGTTTGTGTGGTCTTGTCCTTTCTCTCATGGCTGTTTCAGGACTATTATCTTATGCTGAATACTGTTGCCTCATATCGTGTGGCGCTGGCAGAGCCGCTGCAGCTTACTTTCGGCATCGATGTTACTTCTGCTCCATTTCGCAAGCTGTCTCGGGCATTGTTTCACCTCTGGCCTGCTCATGCACCGCCTGAATCATCCTGGTCTTTGGACAGGATTCTCTCTTATCTCTCTTCCCCTCGGTTTGTTGTGGCCCCTTCAGGTCACAATTGTCTCTCCAAGGCTCTTTTCCTGTTGGCATTGGCCTCTGGGGGGTCGGGTCAGGGAGCTTCATGCTCTCCTCTGGCACAGGGATTTCTGTTCTTTTGTTCCTGATGATAGGTTTGTTTGGGTGCAGCCATCTCCTCCTTTTCTGGCAAAGAATGAGACAGCTGCTTTCCGGAGGGGTCCTTGGGTTGTTGATGCTTAGTTGGTCAGGCCGGGGGGGTGCATCATGAGTTGTGTTCGGTTGCGGCTCTCTGCCATTATTTGTGCGCCACAGCCTGTGACCAGGGATGCGCTTTGGGTTGATCCAGTTTCCCTTCTTCCCTGTTCCAGGGTTTGGGTTGATCCAGTTTCCCTGCTTCCCTGTTCCAGGGTTTGGGTCTCCCAGGTTGTCCGCAGGGTTATTCGGTCCAGCCAGCCTGGGGTCTATTCCCGTGCCCATGACGTTCATAAGTTTGCTGCGCTTGCTGCCGTCTTCTGTAACATTCGGGCACAGGGTTTTAGGCGGTCAAACAGGGTCCTGCATGCGCATTACCTGGTGACTGTTCATGGGCCTAGTTGGGCCTGTGTTGCTCTGGGTCAATGGTTGCAGCCAGTTGTCTCGACTTCGCATTGAGGAGCGAACAACAACTGACTCCCGGGTAAATTCCTCTTGTTTTCGTCTTTTGGCAAGTAGCTCCCGGGAGCCGTAGAAGCTTTCCCCAGAAAACCACGTTGAATCTGATGAAACTCCATTTTTTGGGCGAGACCCGGAGGCTCCCGGCAACCCTCCCTCCCTTCCTCCGGTCGGCGGTTTTTCGCATGTTTTTAATATCCAGCCACATAACTGGGAATGTAATGAAACACCATTTTCTGGGTGAGACCCGGAGGTTCCCGGCAGCCCTCCCTCCCTTCCTCTGGTCGGCAGTTTTTCGCATGTTTTTAATATCCAGCCTCAGAACTAGGGTTTGGGTAGCCGGCGCGTGGGGTCTGGGGCTTCCCCTACCAGGCAGGGGAAGCTGCACAAACGACAACACAGCGATGTGGTAACGTCATGCTCTTTTGCTTGTTTTTGTTTGGGGAGTTCTGTCCACTAGTTTGGCTTTCAGTAGCAATTTCTTAATCAGAATAGAGGTTTGTTTTGGGGCGCTTACCTTTCTGGGTTCCTGACCCAGTCGATGGCAAACATAGAATGCTTCCAAACCACATGGGGGTTTCTATAGGCCATTGCTCCTTGTGCCTCTCTGAGGGGGCCAGGTTCTGGCTCGTGGTCCCTGGTAGGCCTAAGAACTCCATTCATATGACTGATGCCAAAGTCTAATATAGCAATATCAGCCTGGATAAGCTCCGGGGAGCCTCCGGGTCTCACCCAGAAAATGGCATTTCATTACAGGTACTGTACATTTAACACTGATTTTTTTTTTGCCAATTGAAAGACTTGATTTACAACAGATTGGAGGTTTGCTGTGTCCTTTATGTTGTTCACTCTCATAAAAATCTTAGTGTCATCTGCAAAGGATATAGTACTATAGTTTGTATGCTAGTCTATGTCCAATATGAGAATGAGTACTGGAGCAAGCACAGTACCCCGGGAGACTGAGCTTCTCATAGCGATGATCTGGATTTTACTTTGTTGACTATTACACTGGGTTTTGTTAATTATGAAATAAAAAAGTCATCTTCCAAATTTTCTAGTAATTCCATTTGAATGCATTTTATGTGCAATAACACCATGGTCACATTTTTCGAAGGCTTTTGCAAAATCTGTGTACAGTATATTACATCAGTGTATTGCTTGTTTTCCAGGGCATCTAAGTATTTGAAAGCACAAACATGGTCAACACCTGAGATATATTAAGGAAATATTTTACTGAACAGTGTACAGTATATGATTGTCATAGAGTACAACTTTATTTTTATATTAGTTATGCACTTATGATTGTCATAGAGTACAACTTTATTTCTATATTAGTTATGCACTTATGCATTATTTATATATATTGTATAAATTATATACTGTATAATTTATGCATTTTCTAATTACTGCTACATTTATGTGGATGATAGATACATTGACCAAAACATTTAATCTTTAGGTACTTAAAGGATTATGACTACTATGAACGATGTTTGATGGAACGTCAGAGGGAAGAAAACCCCATAAAACCACTCAAGCGATCACGTAACACTGCCGGCTGTCTCTGCTTCACGTCCAAGAGTCGTAGGAGTGCTGAGAAACAAAACTATCGCACAATGTAATTAAGCGTTCCATTCTTTTACCAAAGGTTTGCTTATGGCATCCCAATGTCCCAATCCTTGCGTCCAAATATAGGGTGTGATCAGCGATTGTAATTTTATATTAGATCCAACATCATCAGAGGAAATTCATGTGTAGTACAATAATATGAAATGCAATACAGTTTTTAAAGAAGTGTTCTAAATGATTCATAATAAAATAAACATTTTATGGAAAAATATTGTGTAGCTCAATGAAATCACATCTTTGATCACATCTTTTCATTGCCATATTTGTTAAATCATTGTTTAGTTGTCGTTGTTTTACCACATGCTCAAGATTTTATCTGTTGAAAGATCACCAAATACTTAGATTGTAGGAAAACCCTGCATCTTGAAATATGTTGTACAATTAGTTACTTTGTTTTTCTTACTTTAGACACGTACACACTATGCACTCTTCATTTGCATAATAATATATTTTTCTATAGAAGCAAAGATTTATTTATATTGCTATAGTTTAGGCCATATGCTTTAGTGTGCATCCTTTGTGAGATTTTATTAATTTTATTGAAGGACCTGGGACACCTTAAACGTGTTGCGGGCTTCTCTGAACCGGGTCAGAAAGTGGACATCTGCCGGGTCACGAAATTGATATGCAAGATATGCACAGACTTCTGCCACCATTCTTTCAGCTTCCCAATTTTGTTATGAGAAGTGATGCAAAATTCTTGAGCAACCACTGAGCAACGAGGACAACAAATTATTTAAGTTTAAAACTTTGCTAATTATGCAGTAAAGTTTTAGTGCATTTTAAAATTTTCAGTGCATTATTAAGTTTTTCTGACAATATTTATGTTAACAGACAAGTAATTATGCATGCAATAGTAAATACCTGAATAGATATACAGTATATATATATATATATATATATATATATATATATATATATATATATATATATATATATATATATATATATATATATACAGTATATATATAAATATACACACACTGTGTGTATGTATGTATGTACACACATTACATATATATATATATATATATATATATATATATATATATATATATATATATTTATATATATATATTTATATATATATATATATTTATATATTTATATATTTATACACACACACAGTATATGCATATAACTCCAATGCTCCACGAGCTGATAATTACAACATTGACCCCATTGTTCCTTCAAGAAAACAAAGTGTGGCCACTAAGGTGGTGACCCAGTATGGTACACGTCGTGCCACTGGTGTCAGCAACACAGCTTGTACAAGTACTGGATTATCAGTTTGGGTACCTAGGTCAGCCCTTTAGGAGGCCTTAGAATACATATAAATGCAGTGTACAGATTACAGTGCAGTACAAAATCATGCAGTTTAGCATGATTTTGCATTCCAGAAGAGCCTGTGTTAAACCAAGTTGTGTAGCATTTAGATCGTAGAGGAAAAATAGGAAGTACTCCAGGACCTAGAAGTCTGTCCTTTAAAGAAGATTAAATAATAGTGTATGTGCTGTTAAACCAAGTTTCTTAACATAATACTGTGTTAAGCAATTCTGTACACAAACTAGCCTGGCATAAAACTTGAGGGAGAAAGTCATTAATAAACAAAGGGAAAAGGCAAGCAGTGCAAGACATGTAACACACAAATTTATATCAAGCCTTTAATAATTTGTTTTAAAATTGTTTTAATTCTGGGTTGGTGAGAGCAGGCAAGTGTGGGCATAGATACTGTACATGAACGTAGTGCAGATGAAGGCAGGGCAGGTATGAACATCCAGACAACGTCCTCATAAGGTCAGATGTAATGCACACAAGGAGTAATGGTTTTGAGCTCAACAAGCCAGACTGCAGGACTGAAAACAGGAGATGCTTTTTCACCCACAGGGTTATGAACCCATGGAACTGCCTACCCACCGAAGCCATAAATGCCAAAACTCTGCTGAACTTTATAATACAGCTTGAAAAAATCATCAGGACAAATGGGGAGACCTTTAACAAGCCACCAGCTTCCTGGTGGCCTCAGGTAAATTCAGGTAAAGGCAGGAAAGATGAGTAAGGGTAATGCAGACAAGGGTGTGGCAGGTGATGGCCAAGGGTTAGCAATGGAAAGATAGGTTGAACACAGTGAAGATAAGGTGAGGTGAAGGCAGTGCAGGCGAATGTTACACAGGCAACAATGAGATGGCAGATGATGACAGGCAGGCACAGGCATTCGTGTTGGATATTGCTATATTGCTTCTGTATTTTTTCAATGGCTTGGCGCGATTGTTGATGTGTTCATTACTTGGTCAATAAGGTAAAGTTAGCACTGGATGGGTGACCGTGTGGACAACCTTGCTCCTAGCTTGGGAAAGAACATGTTTAAAAGGCTTTCTGTCTTCAACATTGGAATATCAGTATACGTACTTGTATTGCATGATGCAACATCCCATCAAACACCCCTTCCCAGCTACTCTGCTACCACTTATTCTCTCCCCACCACTTAACCCCCACTTCCCCCTCTCCTCCACCATTCCTAAACCACCCAACCCCTAGGAAATTTACTGAAAGAAATTAACTTCAGATTTGTACTTTCACATTTTAGGTACGCTCGCCTCGGTTACAAGCAATGCCAAACCACGCTGTGATTGACAAGCGGACCCCCAGTTTCACAATCTTTTATTTTTCTATCTTTTCTGATTATTTCAAAGCCTTACTCCTGCCCCTTTCTTCCTACCAACAATGTATCCTCTGCCCCCTTCATGGCTACCCACCATGCATCTTCACCACATGCCTTTTCCCTCTCCCTCTCAACTAGCCATTCACCACACATCCTCGTCAACCCATCCTTCGCTCACTCCCTTAACACGCACACCTACATTAGTGCATGCAAAAAATGTAAAAAAAATTCAAGATAATATATTGTGTAAATACTAACGCAGCATAAGTGAAACATTATCTGAATGACCAACGGGTGTGTAGTGACAGGTGCGTAATGATGGGTGTTTAATGGTGGATCTGTAGTGATGGTCGTACAGTAGGTAAAAGGCAACAGGCATTCCTGTGGCATATTTCACAATGAAAGCTGGTGAGAATCCAGGGTGATTATCCAAACAATATGAAAACAATTATGAAAATAGATAATGCAATAATCTTTAAGGAGCATAGTCCTAAATACATTAAGTGTGAATTCACTTAATAAATTTTTCTTTTGCAGTTCTTAGTGCTTGCACAATATGTTCCATCTTGAAGACTTTTTGATCACATCATATACTGTATATGTGTGTTTATATACACACTTGCTTGCACACAATACTCACACAGCAGTCATACACATGTATGTGTGTATGTGTGTATATATATATTTATATAAATATATATAAATATATATGTATATATATATATATATATATATATATATATATATATATATATATATATATATATATATATATATATATATGTATATATATGTATATATATATATATATGTATATATATGTATATATATATATATATATATATATATATATATATATATATATATATATATATATATATATATATATATATATATATATATATATATATATATATATATATATATATATATATATATATATATATATATATATATATATATATATATATATATATATATATATATATATATATATATATATATATATATATATATATATATATATATATTATTATACATACATATATACATAAAGTAAACATAATGCATGCATGCAAGTCTGAAGATTATTAGTTTCTCTGGTGTCTTGTTTTGAAGGTTTTTATTTTTCATGCTGAAACTATGCTTGTAAGCATACAGTTTTTACAAATGTTCATATTATATTATCATAATATTATCATATTATCATAATCTGTTACTGCAGATGTTATTACGACTGTTGTACACACGCTTTATCAGCAACGGAAAAGGTCAAACTGAATGTAGGTTTGCTGCATTAAGAAGGAATAATTGTCTTATAAACTCCTCATTTCTTTCAATTCAAGGAAAGGAAACTGTGACAATGTAACTCTTATGCAACCTCATTTAGGAGTTCTTGATGCTGTGGTTTCAAGTTATATTTTGAGTATTTTAAGATTGAAGTAAAATCATGCGATGCTCAACTCCCAGGTTTTTGCAGGTATCATGTGTTTCTGTAATTTATTTCATTTATTGTACAAAAGCTACAATATTTGGAAATTGGCAAAAGTACTGATTTTGTGGTGATTGTATGTACGTATGTCCAGGTCTTCTCAACCAGATAGATATAATATTAAAACATTATCCTCACTTTGCTCTTAAATCTTGGAACAGTATTTATAAAGAGAGTAAGTCACAATAATGTGACAACAAATTTGACACCCAACCAGCACATAAGAAGGGAAGGGAATTATCAGGGGAAAGTGCCAAGCCATTAGACTATGTAGCACTTGGAAGGGGGGTCAGGATAGGGATTTGGGATAGGACGGGGGGGGGGGAAGAGGAATGGTGTCCAACCACTTGGACGGTCAGGGATTGAACACCAACCTGCATGAAGCGAGACCGTCTCTCTACTGCCAAGTACAAGGATGGTCTGTCCATCCTAGACCATTATCACACGATTGAAGGTCTAGAATTCACTGAAACGTTGTCAATTTCTTTTCATATATGTGAGTTGGGTGTCTAAAAATACCTGTTGGTAAAACTTATTCTCAATTTATATGTTTAATAATATATTTTGTATTTAAGAGATGTAATTACATCTTACATGTAATTATATGCTATTAGTTATATTAAGTGGAATAATTGTCAGCTTGCATATACAGGTACTGGTACTGCTTAACTTCAATCTTTACCTGGTTGAATTATGTTCCAAGTTTTTATGCACATTTTAATAATCTTCATACAAAAATAAATACTGTAACTGGTAAAGTAAGGCTTTAATTTTATAGTAATTAAGGAGATAGTCTTGATTGGCATTAAAATACTTCTATAATTTATTGCAGATATAAAAAGACATCCTTGAATAACTTAAACTCTATTTATGTTATCACTTCTCAGTTAAATTAATAGAGTTGGCTGGATGTAATTTGCAATGTACAGCTAAGAGTTTGCCAAGGTCCTGGAATTAGCTAAAACCTTTTTGCTGTAACGTTTGCCACCTTACTCACTGAGAAATGGCATAACAAATGTTATCTAGCTTAGCTGTCATAGGCTTGTGGAGTGTTTATAGTATGTCTAATCACAAAATATATATTGTAATTTACTTTGTGTTTTAGCAGAAGGAAAGTAATTTTATACAGTATGCAGCAAGATATAAATATCAATTATCAATATGATGATCATAGAATCCATTCTGGTAATATTTGTTGTGCCTTATTTTCATGGTGATTGCACCTACCTGCATAGTACTTTGGGAAGATTACCGGGTAATTAGATATTTGTAATACAACACAGTGTTTAATTAAGAATACACAATGAAAAACTAAGAAGATGGTTCTTGTAAAGATAAGCTGGAAATCATTGTATGACCCCAGTATTTATATACTTCTTTCATATAAACAAGAGACATATCCTTGCTCAAGTTCTATACCATTAAATATATTTTACCATATACATATACCAGTATATGTTAAACTGGTTTTAAATATCTCTTCCATTTTTCATAAAACCTGAACTATGCCAGAAAGTAGCTTTATTTTTAGGATTATTAAGGAGAAAAGACAATTTTATTTCTCATATATATATTAAATACAATTTGGCTGTATTACTAAAGCAGTTTAAATAATGATTTATTTATCTCCTTTTACAAACAGCTTAACTCGAGCTGGGTGTACTTCTGTTCTTTGTTTAGTTTCAGCCATGAATAAGCAAATTGAAATATTGTTACAATTTTCATTCTATGATTTTTATGTCTT